CTGATTTCAGGGTATCATCACAATATCGCGCTAGGACCCCGCCCAGAGGTTGGAACTCGTATGACTCGTTTATCTGGACTATTTCAGAGGAAGAGTTCTCCACAAATGCCGAAATCATGGCAAAGCAGCTCCTTCCTCATGGATATGAGGTGTTTGCTGGAATACAATAAGAATTCGATTTCCTTTTTTCTTTTTTCGCATTCATTTGTATGTGTGTGTGTTTTTATGTATCTTTGTTTTTCACTTCAATGCAGTATGCTGTGGTGGATTACCTGTGGTATAGGAGAAAAGTTCCAGGCGCTTATGTTGACTCTCTTGGGTTTGATGTGATCGATGAGTGGGGGAGGCCTATACCTGATCCAGTTAGGTGGCCCTCGTCGAGAGGTGGGAAGGGGTTCACTAAAGTGGCAGCAAAAGTACATAGCCTCGGTTTGAAATTCGGGATTCATGTCATGAGAGGAATAAGTACACAGGCAGTAAATGCGAATACCTTTATCTTGGACCCCAACACGGTAATACTACTTAATCCCACCAACAAAGATTCAGAAAATGTACAGAGACTCTCATTTTTGTAGTGATCATACATAAGTTTGGAGGATGAATCGAATATTGTAGTAGTTTATCATTAACAAAGATTCAGAAAGCACACACTTACGTAATTCATTTTTAACTTCAAAAACATAAGTGGTGTACTGGGGGAAAATTAAAGACTTGGTAATGGCAATTGATCTCAGTGCTTGAGTTTTTATTCTCGTTCCTTATCAGGGGACTGCTTACAAAGAGGCTGGAAGAAAATGGACTGCAAAAGATATAGGGATTAAGGAGAGGACATGCGCATGGATGCACAACGGTTTCATGAGTGTGAATACCGAGTTGGGTGCTGGAAAGGCCTTCTTGAGGTCACTCTATAAACAGTATGCTGAATGGGGTGTTGATTTTGGTAATTAACAAAAATTACCATGTTTGGTTCAATGTTAAGATTGCATCAGTCGTGTCATCAGGATACTTCCCCTGATATTATTAGCCAAGTCCATGCTTTATCTCTTGCTAACTCTATCATTGGTTGCTTCTCTTACCCACCCCCTTGCAGTGAAAAATGACTGCGTGTTTGGTGAAGACTTAGATGTACCCGAAATAACCTATATTTCAGAGGTAAGACTGGCTTCCCATCCCTCTCCCCCCCCCCCCCCTCTCTCTCTCTCTCTCTCTCTCTCACACACACACACACACACACACGTACACACATGTATCCTTCAGCGATATTGTGGTGTAGAGTGGGTGCTTAACAAATAATGCATACTTTACCAGATTCTGAAGCAACTTGAGCGTCCTATATTGTATTCTCTATCTCCTGGAACCAGAGTAACACCTGCTATGGCCAAGGCTATAAGTGGGATGGTCAACATGTACCGTATAACTGGGGATGATTGGGATTCATGGGGAGATGTTCTAGCCCATTTTGATATAACCAGGTGATGACTTGTTTTTCAGTTCAAGGTTTCGTTCAGATTGAATTCACATATTCTTTGTTTTTTGTGTGTGCTGAACACAATACATTTCGTATCAGGGATTTTTCTGCTGCCAATATGATAGGAGCCAAAGGCTTGCTGGGGAAGTCATGGCCTGACTTAGATATGCTCCCGTTGGGATGGCTTAGCGATCCAGGTCATCTTTATTTCCTTTATATGGCAATGAATATTTTCCTATTAATATTCTTAGATAGATGAATGAGCTCTATTGATGCTTGCCTGATGTGCTTGCTTTCATGCTGATGGGTTGTCATCGCGATGCATTTGAGTGCCAAAACAATCAAGTTCAATATCTAGGACCAACTTTATCCATGCCAATTCGGCTGAGCAACTTCAACCAGATAGTTCTAGAATTAATCATCATTATAAGGCATTGCAGGGTTATTTATCTCCTGGAAATCTAGAAAATCTGAAATGCACCTTATTAGTTTGAAATGTTTAAATTTGAGTTCTATATTTGATGCGTGGTTCTCATAGTTTCTGTTTTATGTTTTGAAAATTTTAGGTTCAAATCACGGTCCTCACAGATGGACTAATCTCGGTTTAGGGGAGCAAAGAACACAGGTACTTGCATGAGGACAAGTGGGTCTTTTAAGTCCTTTCCGATTAGCTGAGCAATCAATTTGACCTTGTGCATTTATTTTCACAGATGACTTTGTGGTCTATTGCCAGGTCTCCTCTCATGTTTGGAGGAGATTTGAGAAAACTTCCAGATGAATTAATGAGAATCATCACAAATGACGTCGTGCTGGAGATAGATTCTTTTAGCTCAAATAATAGGGAGGTATGTTGAATAAATAACTCATATAATCCTAAGAATAAAAATTGTTCGTGGTAGCAACGTAAAATCTTGTTTTGTTGCATTTACAGTTTTCATACATTACCAGTAATGTGAATGCAAGGGCCGTTAAGAATGATGATCAGTTTCACACCTGGCAATCGAGAAGACATCTGACAAATGCAAAAACTTCAAATACACATGCTTTTGGTCTCACTACCTGTGCAGATGCGAAAGCAATTGGTTGGTCCACTCAATTTCTTGACCGAGATCTTGAACACATCTGCTGGACGGAAAACTCAAGGAGCAAACATCAGGCACCTTTTTGCTTAAACAAGAGAGATTCGCTCTTGGCAATGTAATAGTTCTTTAGCTTTGCTGATCATTTTTCTCAGTTTTATTATGTTTACTTGCGCTGTTAGGAATTTGATAAATTTGGCTCCACTGCTGATGTAGAGATGATGACATAACGGACAAACATCAATATCAGGGGAAGGTCAATTTATTAGCAAGTGATGGAACAGATCGCTGCTTGCATGCTTCTCCTAAACGAAAGGTTACTTCGAAGGACGTTAAGAGAGGTTTCTTTTCACCTTGTAGATGGGATGCGAACCAGGTATCCTCAGTCCCAATTCATATATTTAATGTATACAGAATTGATATCTTGCACACACCATTGAGTGTCCAATCTAAACAAGGTCTACGAAATGCATTGTCCCGTGGTTGAGTGACTTTTTGAAATGACATATTTGATCTTAACAGATGTGGGAGTTAAACCCCAACGGAACCTTGGTGAATAGTTATTCTGGCCTCTGTGCAAGAATTGATCCTTTTGAAGGCAATAAGATAAAACGTGAGTGCCTTTTCGTGCATTGATTCTGCCAGTGAGTTTTGAAATTATGTATGAATCATGATTTTAGCTTACAAGTTGATCACCTGTTCAGCTAAGGCCATTAACGATGTTGCCCGCTCTTGGATTGCAACTGGAAGAAAAGGTTTTGCATATTTCTCAACTGTCGATGCAAGACTATTGCATATTTCTCAATTGTCAAATTGTAATTCTGTCTGCATTTCTGCAATTGCAGGAGAAATATACATAGCGTTTTTCAATTTGCTCGGCAAATGGGCTACTATAACTGCAGAAAGAGCAGACTTAGCCAGAGAACTTCCAATGACAAAACTGGTCAGAGGTTCCTGCGAAGGATCGGAAGTATGGACGGGACGGTACTTAGGGGTAGTAGGCGACGCAATTTCATTTTCGGTTGTACCACACGGGGTTGCACTGATTGTCCTGCACTGTAGTTAGGTGCATTTTTGGGGCGTAGTTTTGCTTCTTGTCCTTCCTTTTCTTTCTTTTTCTACAAGCAATTGAAGCAAAAGGGGAAGAAACAAGCAAAAGAGGAAAGGGAGTGGCACATGCTGTAATATCTGTGGTATGCAGGCCCCATCATGGAAGGCAAAAGCCGGGCAATAATATAAGTCCGATTTTGCGAGTCATTATTGGGTTTAGTCCACTTAGTTGGATTAGGTCCCTTTCGATTATTCACATCAAGTTTTTTTATTATCTTTTTATTAAATTGTGATTAATATCATCCATTATTTGTATGCTTATCTTTACACCAATTTTAACAGTAAATATAAGAATTATATATTGTTTGCCCTTTTTTCTGCTCCTAATTCGTATCTCAATTTTTTCTTCAACCTCCATCAAAGGTAACTTGTTAACTAATCTATGTTGTAGGTGCTATGTATATCAACATATGTACCAGTATGGATTTATACATGTATGAAGATAAATTTCTTTGAACTATTTTCATGGATATAGGTGGATTAAATTTTAATTTTTATGGTCTAGGTCTCATATATGATTGCATATAAAAAAAATTTAACAATTTTTCATGAAAGTGAAAATTTTTCATATATAAATATTTCAATCAAGAAATTTAATTAAAGTTAAAAATAGGAAAACTGGAGTAAATTCAACAACTCCTCAAAATTTTTTTACCTGGATCAAGGTACCCCAACTAAATATATAAACAAGGGTTCTAGCCAAAATTATCTGTGAGATTGACATAATTGGTCTATGACAATAAAAATTGATAGAAGTGTATGTCCCGTAAATCATTTTAGTCATTCTGTAAAAAATTTGTCAATATCTTAATTAAATTGTCACGCGAACGACAACATAACCACCTCTGTAAGATTAATTTTGTCAAACCAACTCTTCCATTTAACGAGAATACTGATAGATTATTCAAGAAATGACTAAAATGATATACTAAAATTATAGTAATCTCTATGATCATTTTGTCTAAAAAGCTTAGTTATACAAGAAGAATTTGAAAATAAACGGGCGCGTGAAATATTTGTCTGTTGGCACTTGACGCCACTGACCAAGAACAACGTAAGCAAAACATTCTTTATTTACTTATGAAATCTCCTAAAACAATAAAAGATGGAATCGAATGATCGTCTTTGCACGAAAGATTAATTTAGAAATAAGAAATCTTAATATTCTTCTTTAAATCACCAGATTTTTTTCTAAATGACATTACGTGATTTCCATATGTGACCAAATCAAAAGAATGTATTTTTACTTATCATCATTTAGTGTGATGTATGCTCACCACGTGATGGCGAGCAAAAATGCACTCAAACCAAAAAGTGGTTATAAAATGTCAGCGTCAAGACAAAGGTTAACATGTCACTGCCATCCTTAACTCCATTTCCGGCTGTCTGATTCCGTCGTCTGAATTCTGGTCCGGTCGGAGTCGGATTTCCAGGACTTCAGCTGCAACCTCAGCATTTAGCAATGAACACCTCCTTGTTTCTTTTCAGCTCTCTCTGTTTCTTCCTCGGTCTTCTCGGCCAGAGGTGAAAAAAAACCACTTGTACTTTTTACCATTTCATCTCCAGTTCTTCACTTTTTACTGTTGATTATAAGCATGATCATTTACTCGACAACCCAGAATTTTTTTCACTGTTTCCGTGAGATTCCACTTCTGAATTGTTAATTGCAACTTGCCCATTTGTTTATTCATATATATTATCAAATTCCCTCGTACTGACGAGGTTCGTTGTAAAAAAAAAAAATCATGTATATGCATTTGTGAAATTCTTCAACTCAAAAGATTGTGTCTTTTGGTTTTTTCAGCTCAAGTAATTGTCTTTTGGGTTTCTGCAAATTTCATGTAACTGGGAACATCTGCATTGGATAAATGCTATCAGTCTGTTCTTTTTTTTTTTTGGTAGTAATTATTTTGTGATTTGCAGTTACTTCTTGGTTTTTGACATTTCTAGATAAACTCTGTGTGCAAATGTTTACTGATTTCAGGGTTTCATCACAAGAACTTGCTAGCACCCCGCCGAGGGGTTGGAACTCGTATGACTCGTTTATCTGGGTTATTACGGAGGATGAGTTCCTGGAAAGTGCCCAAATTATGAAAGAGAAGCTCCTTCCTAAGGGATATGAGGTGTTTGGTGGAATTTGATTTTTTTTTCTTTTTTTTTTTTTTCGCAATCATTCGTAGGATTCATGCAGCCGACGCCACAAGGCTTGGTTGTTGGTTGTTGGTTGTTGGACTTGTATGTGTGAGAGTGTTTTAATGTAGTTCTTTGTTTTTTTCTCTCCAATGCAGTATGCTGTGGTGGATTACCTGTGGTACAGGAAGAAAGTTCCTGGCGCTGATGTCAAATCTTATGGATTTGATGTAATCGATGAATGGGGGAGGCCGGTGCCTGATCCAGATAGGTGGCCTTCGTCGAAAGATGGGACAGGGTTCACTGAAGTGGCAGCATTTGTACATAGCTTCGGTCTGAAATTCGGGATCCATGTCATGAGAGGAATAAGTACACAGGCATTTGATGCGAATACCAAGATCTTGGACGTCAGAACGGTACTGCTACTTAATCCCCCGATGACTCTCATTTTCCTTGTCATTATATTTTACATAAGTTTGGAGGATGAATCGTATAACGTAGTTATATCTTTAACAAAGAATCAGAAAGCACACACCTGCATGATTTTGTTTTATCTTCAAAAGCATAAGTGGCTTAATGGGCGAAATGAAAGATTCGTTGTTGGCATTGATCTTAGTACTTGAGCTTTTTATATCAGGGGTCTCCTTATGAAGAGGGTGGAAGACAATGGACTGCAAAAGATATAGGGATCCCGGACAGGAGGTGCGCATGGATGGACAAGGGATTCATGAGTGTGAATGCCGAGTTGGATGCCGGAAAGGCCTTCTTGCGGTCACTCTACTACCAGTATGCTGACTGGGGTGTTGATTTTGGTAAGCCGACTGTTATTTATAGAAATTACCGTGCTTGGTTCGGTATTAAGATTGCATCAGTTTTGGATGACGGCCTACGTATGATTGGAATGCTTTAACCCTTTCTAACTCTGTTTCGTTGCTTCTCTACTTACCCCCTTGCAGTAAAAAATGACTGCGTGTTTGGTGATGACTTAGATGTACCTGAAATAACCTATATTTCAGAGGTACAATTCTTCTCCCTCCCCATTGTCCCCAAACTCTCTCTCTCTCTCTCTCTCTCTCTCTCTCTCTCTCTCTCTCGCACACATACACACGCATCTTCATTAATATTGTGGTGGAGAGTTGGTGCTTGTAGCCTTATACTTAAGAAACGATGTATATTTTCCAGTATCTGCAGCAACTGCATGCACTTGGGCAACATCCTATATTGTATTCTCTATCTCCCGGAACCAGTGCAACGCCTGATATGGCCAAGCCTATAAATGGGATGGTCAACATGTACCGTATAACCGGGGATGATTGGGATTCATGGGGAGATATTCTAGCCCATTTTGATGTAGCCAGGTGAATAACTTGTCTTTCGGTAAAAGGTTTTCGTTCAGATTGAATTCACATACTCGTTGTTTCTCGTGTGCGCTGAACACAATACATTCCGTATCAGGGATTTTGCTGCTGCTAATATGATAGGAGCCAAAGGCATGCTGGGGAAGTCATGGCCTGACTTAGATATGCTACCGTTGGGATGGCTTAGTGCACCAGGTTATTGGACTCAGGATTCCCCTTTCATTCATATGGCAAATTGGCAATGAATATTTTCCTTTCGATATTCTTAGATATACAACGTTTTCAAGTGCCAAAACAATTGGTTTAATATCTAGGACCAACATTGTCCATGCTAATAACGCTGAGCAACTTCAACCGGATGGTTCTAGATTTAATCTTTTTAACGCGGTTCAGGGTTATCTTCTGGCAATTTCAGATTTCTTAAATGCACCTTATTAGCTCCAACTGTTGAAATTTGAGTTCTATATTTGATGAATGGTTCTCGTTGAAACATTAGAAACAAATGACGGTCCACACAGATGGTCGAATCTCAATTTAGATGAGCAAAGAACACAGGTGTGTACATAGACAAGTTCGTTTTTAAGTCCTTGATTTTCCCTGAGCAATCCTTTTGACCTTGTGCTTTTGTTTTCACAGATGACTTTGTGGTCTATGGCCAAGTCTCCTATCATGTTTGGAGGAGATTTGAGAAAACTTACAGATGAATTAATGAGAATGCTCACAGATGATGCCTTGCTGGACATAAATTCTTTTAGCTCAAATAATAGGGAGGTATGATGAAAAACGTAATTTCGTAAAATCCTGAGACTTGCTCATGATATCAACATAAAATCTTGATTTCTTGCATTTGCAGTTTACACTCTTTACAAGTAATGTGAGCACAGCCGTTAAGCAAGATGATCGAGTTCGCACCAAGCAATCAAGAAGACATCTGACAAACTCAAAAACTTCAAATACACATTCTCTCGGCCTCACTACCTGTGCAGATGCGAAAGCAATTGGTTGGTCTGCTCAAGCTCTTGACCGAGATCTTGAACACATCTGCTGGAGAGATAACTCAAGGAGCAAACACCGGGCACCTTTTTGCTTAAACAAAAGAGATTCTCTCTTGGCAATGTAATATTTCTTTATCTTTTGCAGATCCATTATTCTCAATTTTATTATGTTTACTTGCACAGTTACGATTTTTGATTAATCTGGTTTCAATGCTGATATAGAGATGAAGACATAACGGACAAACAGCGATATCAGGGGAAGGTCAATTTATTAGCAAGTGATAGAAAGGACCTTTGCTTGCATGCTTCTCCTACACAAAAGGTTACTTCAAAGGACGTTAAGAGAGGTTTCTTTTCACCTTGTAGATGGGATGCGAACCAGGTATCTTAAGTCCCGATTCATAGATCTTTTGAATTCTATACAGAAGTGATATCATACATAGATACACCACTGAGAGTTCAATCTGAACTAGCTGCACGCAATGCATGATCCCGCGGATGAGCGACTTTTTGAAGTGACGTATCTGATCTTAACAGATGTGGGAGTTGAACCCCAATGGAACCTTGGTGAATAGTTATTCCGGCCTCTGCGCAAGAATTGATTCTTTTGAAGGTAATAAACTAAAACGCGAGTGCCTCTTCATACATTGATGCTGTCAGCGAGTCTTGAAATTATGTTTGCATCACGGTCTTAAGTCTCAACTTACAAGTTGATCACATGTTCAGATAACAAAGCCGTCACTGATGTTGCTCGCTCTTGGATTGCAACTGGAACACCAGGTCATGCCGCGATTTCCTCAACTCTTTTTTCTCTATCGATGTCAATACAATGCAACTAATTCTGTTTGCGATTCTGCAATTACAGATGAAGTATACGTAGCGTTTTTCAATCTGGTTGGCGACTGGGCTACTATAACCGCGCAAAAAGCAGACATAGCCAAAGAACTTCCAATGACGAAATTGGCCAGCGGTTCGTGCAGGGGAATAGAAGAATGGACCGGACAAGACTTGGGGATTGTAGGCGACACAATTTCAGTTTCGGTTCCGTCGCACGGGGCTGCTCTGATTATCCTGACCTGCAGTTAGTGCAGTATAATCCAGAGCCTTTTTGGGTCTAGTTTTGCTTGTTTCTCCTTCCCCTTCTTTCTTTATCTGCAAGTAAAAGGGAAAAGGGGAGTGGCACATGCTGTAATATATGTGATATGCAGGCCCCATCATGGAAGGAAAAATATTCACCTTTGAGAATGAAGGAATAAGATTGTCTTCACTTTATATACGACATGTGTTCTTATTTTGGTTGGTGGAGGCTAAAATCTATCTTTTTCGTTATTTTTATGTTATGAGGTCATGCCTAGTGTCATCTGATTGTCACTGTCACAGCATCCTCTTCGGATTCTTTTGATAAGAATCTTAGTGATATGTGAATCGTGTATGTTTATCATATATTGTACGGTTAGTTTTTATTAAGTACAGTTAGTGTTTAATTTTAAATAAAAATATTTAAAATAATTTCTGATCGCACGATATTCGATAAACGGAATGAATTAACAGATCCTTGAAATTCTCACAAAGAGTGTCCAGCGAGGATCGAGATTTGTCAAACATAATTCAATGATTTTGTAAATCACCGCATGATATGTACAAATTTAAAGAAAAGAAACACAAATGCTTCCAAGAATGTTACATCACTAGCTGCACATTATGTACATTTTTGGATAATTTTGCGATTACAAAGGTGAATACGACATATCAAACGCGATCTAAAATAAGGACAAAAATAAGATTTTGAACGAGAATAAAGTGTAACACTAATTGTAGGGTTGCTTATAATCATGAGTTGCAAGAAATAATTAGTGGATTTGGCTACGTAAGCACACAAGTCATAACATTGTAAAAAGAATTTATAAATAATTAGTCATTTAAGTATGGGAGCATGATTATGTTATATTATTATTGTCCTAGTTAGACTAAGTTTACTTAATTATATGAGTATATTCTCTGAATCTATGTTTTGGTTATTGGTTTGGTGTGTAGAACAGTATTCAGGGGAGGAGACCATCGTCTATAGAGATCACATGTCATCCAGTAGCAGATTTAAAATTTAAATTTTGGGGTTTTAGTGTTAAATATAAAAAAATTTAAATGGAAACAAAGCATAAAGCGCGCAAAAGAATTCATTTTATTCACTGTGGTATTTCGTTTAACACTTGGTGGATTTGTTGTTGTCAGTTAAACCATATTACACACATGTCAACCGTTATCAATGTATGACAAAGTAATATGATGAATAATATAGAGAGAATTTGTTAAGTGATGTTGACACAAAGTGCTGAGATATTAGTGGATTTGGCTGCGTAAGCACACAAGTCATAACATTGTGAAAAGAATTTATAAATAATTAGTCATTGAAGTATGGGAGTATGATTATGTTATATTATTATTGTCCTAGTTAGATTAAGTTTACTTAATTGTATGAGTATATTCTCTGAATCTATGTTTTGGTTATTGGTTTGGTGTGTAGAACAGTATTCAGGGGAGGAGACCATCTTCTATAGAGATCACATGGCATCCAGTAGTGGATTTAAAATTTGAATTTTGGGGTTTTAGTGTTAAATATAAAAAATTATAAATAGAAACAAAGTATAAAGCGCGCAAAAGAATTCAGTTTATTAATTGCGGTATTTCGTTTAACACTTGGTAAACTTATTATTGTCAGTCAAACCATATTGCGCACAAGTCAACAGTTTTCAACATATGGCAAAGCAATATGATGAATAATATAGAGAATTTGTTAAGTGATGTTGACACTAAATGTTGGGATATGCCCTAACATGTATTACATCAAACATTTAGTAGGCATAAAAGAAAACCATACCAAACATTCAGAGGTCTTCGAAAGATCATCACATTTATACATTCCACTTGGATCTCTATTTCCATCGCCCCTGATGGCATCTACAAGATATTTTGTTTCCTGTCTTAGGGTGAGTGAGACTGAACTCTAACTACACAAACTTACTAAAAAAATAATTGGACAATTTCGATCATCAAATCACATTGCAACATTGAGATGAAATAAAGTATCACGTAATTAGTATTAATTGTTTTCTATATACCCATAAAAAATATAAATATATTTCTCGCAAATGACATTCGATTATGTGTATGCATTCTAGCACATGTTTAATTTTCACTGATTCTCTTCTCTTAACAACTAACTATTTAAATCAATAACACCGTTACTCTATCAAAAGTCAATTTAATCCCAAAAAAATGAAGTCCAAAATACGTACGACTTCAATTTTGTAATGCTTGGCGGCTCGTATCGACTCTTCCTCGTGGCGACCTATTGAACCAATCCCTCCTGTATAAATATCGTCATTTTTCACTCTGCTCTATCCTCTCATTGAAACTTTCGCGGCAAACAACGAGGGAAGACGGTGCGCATCTCCAATTTTCTTGCTCTCCATAACTTCCAGTTTCCCACTTTCCATCACTTTCTCTCCATCCAAACATGAACGCCACCGCATTTACAACAACAACACTCCCTCATTTCTCCTCCGCCCGCTCCGCCGCCGCCGAGTCATCGTCAAACCGCCAATTCCACAACCCTGTACCCGCCAAATTGAAACTCGACACCCAAGACAACAACATAAATTTCTTGTCCATCAAATGCATCCCCAGTCGAGGAATTCGAATCCCGAACGCGTTGGCTCTGACGGCGACGCAGGCTCGGCCGTCGAAGCCCACGGAGCAGGTGGCCGACAAGCTGAAACGCCTCGTTTTGGAATTCAAGTCTCTGTCGGAGCCAATTGACCGCGTGAAGCGGCTACTACACTACGCGGCGAGGCTCCCGCCGCACAGTGAGTGTGCGCGGAAGCCGGAGAGCCGGGTCCAGGGGTGCTCGACGCAGGTGTGGGTGGAGGCAGAGATGGACGAGGTGGGGAGGATGAGGTTCCGGGCGGACAGCGACTCGGAGATCGCAAAGGGGTTCTGCTCGTGCCTGATGTGGTTGCTGGACGGCGCGGAGGCGCGTGAGGTTCTGGCGGTGGAGGCGCGGGATTTGGACGACGTGAATGTGGGGGTGTACGGGAAGGTCAATTCGAGAGTGAACACGTGGCACAGCGTGCTGCTGGCGATGCAGAGGAAGACTCAGGCTTTGGTGGCGGAGCGAGAGCAGGGGATGCGGGGTGCTAATTCTTTCCTTGACGAGGTCAATGGTTAAGCCATCACTATTTTGTTTTTGGTAAGCGATATTGGCGCGAAAGGGTAAATCGACTTGGTGAGACGATAGTTGAATTCTGGACTTTGGATGCAAAGTAATTGAGATACAAGTCCCTCAATAGTTTTGGTGACTTGTGAATTAAGTTAGCTGAATTTGAAGCATATTATTATGTGTTAGTGAAATATGGTGCGTCGAAACAAATTTAGGCTTCTCACACATCCCTTGATAATTTATGTCTGTTGATCTTCTTCAATTCATTCGATCTGACAGTCGAAAATTAAAAATATATGTGAGAAGTAAAATGAGATGTGTGGATATCACACCCCATATATTGTGTAGTATTGGAATATGGGCGCGGAGTTGCTGATGTCGGGAAGTACGGTTTTTTGAAAAATAGGGGAATATATGTGAAGTTGGAAGGTGTTTAGTGGAATAATGTTTGTTGTTTTCAAAAAAGAAGCAATGAAAATAATTTGGTTTGTAGAGTATAGATGTTTTTTTTATTTTTTTATTTTTTTGAACAAAGGAAAACTTCATTACCAACAAAACAAATTTTTATAAACAAAAACCCAAATTCAAACAATGGGCAAGACTAAAACCAACAGAATCCTCTCCGGATCTTTTTGGTAAGGATCTTGGGGATCAATAAATCGTGTCCGTTTATCGTATATCGTGTGATCAATTTTTGTCAGATACTGTTTGTATTTAATTTTAAATAAAAATATTTATAATAATTTATAACCGCATGATGGAGGATGAACATATATGATTCACAGATCCCCTGAATCCTCACAAAGAGGATCCGGATTTAGACTAAAAGATGGACCTCAAAGCCAAAAAAACCCAACCCAAAGGTTAAGCCCACAACAAGCACAAAGAAACACACAAAAAACAAACTATACATAGAAGGGAAAAACGCTCGCTGCACTGTTGCTGCCACAACAAACACACAATCGCTGCCCCAGAAGCACCATAGACCAAGCAGCAAGAAACTCAGAAGTGAAAAAGAAAAGCAGCCGCATCATTCTCTAAGGACCACCACAGCAACCTCCGCCATAAAACAAAGGAAGCACGCAGGAAGAGAGATCCCACGAGCAACATTGCTGACAAAAGCAACGACTGGGAAGGACCAACAAAGGTGGTGGCGCGACCACCCAAGTTAAAGCTTTACACACCCTCTCATAGATCCGCGGTAAAACGCCGGAAACACTGACAATACCCAAAAGGAATTAAGTATGATTCGAGAGATGATGGAGCCAAAACATGAAATTAATGAAGGGAAAATTAGTGAGGAAAAAAGACAACACGGAGGTTTGGGAAAAGGGGGAGGATGGAACCAAAGGATGCAATTGATGGAGGGAAAAGGATGGAGGAGAAAGGGGACATTGAGGCTTGGGTTAAAGTGCTCAAAGGGATGGGAGCACGGACAAGGAGAGAAAAAGGAGAAGGAGAACAAGAAGGGCAGGCAACGGGACTGCCATCGACCCTAGACAAAATTTGGGACCTATGGCGACGCTAATCTATGAAACGAAAGAACACTCACACAATAGTGAGAAAAACTCTCACCGGAGGAGAGAAGAAGCTCTCACATGTGTTATGATCCCACATCGGCTACACCAGAAATGGTGTAGTGGTACTTAAGTCCTTGGGGTCCTCCCAGCTATTAGACTAGTCTTTTGGGTTGAGCTTTTTCCTTGGGCTTAAGTACCTAACAACATGAGGAGAGAGTAAATTTGAGTATGGTCCTTTTCATGCAACACACACGTATCTATTTATATGTGGTGGTATTTAGGATCTAAATGATATGAACTTTTCATGAACCATGATTAAAACGGTAAACTTTGCTGCAATTATAGTCATTACACTAACTAAACATTGATGAATGACTACTCCCAATACTCTACGCTGAAAACCGAAGGTTTATCTGCAACTATCCTTGAGTTGTGCCTCAACAGGGAGGTGGGCTGGTCTTAGTAGCGATGGTGGCACGTTAAGGAAGGAAATTGGATGGAGAAATTTGAGTGAAGTTGTTGAATTTGCGTGAAATAGGTTTGAAATGGAGGAAAAATCCTATCTTTCTCAAGCGTTGAGTGAGCAAAATCTGGTATGTTACAAATCTCATTGCTTGTATGTAAGAAAGATGTGTACAACATGTTGTCAAATTATCAGAAAGACGAGTAAAAAGTCCATCTCCAATAACACTATATGGTTTCCAGCATGTTAATTAGTACATACACAATCTGACAGGTGTGATGTTTAATCACAAAAAGCTCGTATTAGTTAGTGTGAAATTAAAATATTTAAACAATTTTTCTGCTCTATCTCTAGTTGACGTGGAATATTTCAACACAGATTTCAACAAAACTGAATTTTTAACCAATCATGTGATGAGTGAGGATGTAGAGAGAGCGCATCCAATTAGAAAGTACAAAGCTTTTAGTTTTGGTTACAAAAAGTAGAGTTTCCGCACAACCTTTGCCTCCTCCTATCATATAGCTTTAGAGGGAGCATTTGATCAAGTTGAGTATCGAGGGTACGTTCCATTTATTCCAAAATTGTGTGGCGCTGGGATGTTTGTCCTCGCCTATATTTATTCATTCCCCTTTTACCTCCACAACAAGAAAGCTTTCCACCCCCACACTCCCCACTTTTAAAGCAATCAGATTCAATTTGCAAAAACGATAAATTTACGAAAAATTATTAATTTTTCCTTCATTAATATTAATATTATTACATGACATACTGACTTATGTGTATTTTTTTTAAGGAAGACAACTGGTGGCAAACCATGGTTATCCACCCATTTCGGGGGCCAATAAGACTTACAAAGGCATTTCAGCCTTCCCATGGTCACAAGTCTGGCTATCACACTAGCAACGGATTTCAAAACCGAGACGACTTATGTTTTAGATAAATAAAAAAATACGGAATAGGATTCTCTCTCATACGAATCCCCTTCCATTCCCTCCTATTCTTTTTTCACCTTTCATTTTTTGTTTATAAAAAATATTAACATAAAATGTTGACGTAGCTTAATTGTGGCCGAGAACAGAGAGCTGAGAAGGTGAGTCCAAAAACATTATTCACAATCAAAATGCAATGTGCTTTCACATGGCAGATTGGTGAAACGGGCCAAACCTATAAATTAAAAGTATAAAAAAAATCGAAAAACTCTCATTGAATTTTCGATAATAGAGGTTATTTTTTTAATGGTTATACTGTGAATACTAACTATTTAAATTATATTTTAAAACCATATAATGTGATTGTTAATAATTAAATTCTTACTTAATTATTAATTAATTTACTTATTTTCTATTTGAAAAACATTACATAATTTACAAATTTAATATTTAATTTCTTTAACTTTCAAAAAGAAAAAAGCGCAATATAAAGAGCATCACAACTGTTAACTACAAAGAAGTCAAAAAGCAGCGGACAGCAAACCCACACCACAAAAACAAGCAAGTAAAGTATTTTTCTTCATCATTATATAACTATGATGTAATGGACATTATATATTTTATTATATAGTCACATGTTCTTTTACTTAATTTTAGTTAATTTCAAATAAAAGATTATTTTTTTAATTAAAAAAATTAAAATTAAATGAAATAACAAGTAACGCATGATTAGATATATAATAGGCATACACTATGATTTACGATAATGAGCAAAAATTCTCCCATGAACCTCCCCAGCTCTCCAAACTTGATGAGTCCCACGACTCACTCGGGGCCCGCAAAACCAACGGTTCCAGTTCGACCTCGCGGCCCCATTTTCCCTACCAGACCGCCCTAAGAAAACGCCACGTAGTTGATTAGCTGGTGAGTTGTGTGTCTAGCTTGTGTTTCTGGCTCAGTACAACTGTACATCATCATCCAACACACACACAAACGCTCACGCGCCCACTATCGCACTCGCCAACTGTTGCCTTTCCCTCTACGTCGCACGTTCTCGGAACTCCACTTTCTATTTTCTTTTTATTAATGGGTATTTATCACAAATAATCTTTTAAATTGATCCATCCCATCTGTTCTTGAAATTGAAAATCGATGTCGCAAATCAATGTAGTCTTTCCTTCATAATTCCGTTAAAAATTCTTTTATGTGCTGATGTGGCAGGTGATGTGGCATATTTTATATTAAAAAATTAATAAAATATTATTAAAAACTAAAAAAAATCATTTAATAATTTTTAAATGTTAAAATAATAATTAATTATTAAAAAAAAAAAAAAACCCATGTTTGTCAACCCGCCGTCCCCTTCTCCCCCACCCCCAGCAACAACCCGAAGACCATGTTCGTCATCCCCCTCGTCATCCCCCCCGGCGGACCCTTCTCCCCCACCCCCTGCACCCAGAAGAAGAAGAAGAAGAAAGGAAAAAAAAAAAACCCCAATTTATTCTTCCCCCCACCCTCTGCAACCCACAAAGAAAGAAAGAAAGAACGAAGAAGAAGAAGAAGGAAAAAAAAAAAAAAACCAAGTTCGCTGCGCCAATACATCCAGAAAGAAGAAGAAGAAAAAAAAAAAAAAACCCACGCTGATACATAGAAATAGAAATATATATATATATTAAATGATTTTTTTTAATTTTTAATAATATTTTTTTAGTTTTTTAATATAAAATATGCCACATCATTTATCACATCAGCATATAACATAATTACGACGGAAGGACTACATTAATTTACGACATTCAATTCTTTGATTGATTTTCAATTTCATAGACCTATGAGTCAATTTAAGGAACAATTTGTAATTAAAATCCTTTATTAATTTCATTTTTTTTTAAATAAAACCACTTTTTATATTAATTTCGCCTTCGTCTCTTACCATTTTTTTTGAAATTTTCTGGTTCCTTTCTCCCTTTCATTTCGAACTGCGATTTCAGATCTCGCAAACCGTCGACGATGGCCAATCCCTGGCGTGGTGCCGGCGCCTGGGCCGCCGAGGCTGAGCGAGCCGAGGCTGAGGAGCTCGCGGAGGCCGCCCAGGTCGAGTCCCAGAGCTTCCCCAGCCTAAAGGAAGCCTCCAGCGCCAAGCCAAAGAAGAAGAAGATGAGCCTCTCCGAATTCTACAACGCTTCCAGCACCCCGGCCTCTAATCGGGTCGGTCTCACTCCCGACGAGATGATGCGCCTCCCTACCGGCCCCAAGGAGCGCTCTGCCGAAGATATGCAGTACGGTCGCCTAGGTGGCGGGTTTTCCTCCTATGGTCGCTCAGGTCCGAATCCGGGTCGGGGCGGGGACGGAGAGGGCGGAGACGGGTCATGGGGTGGTGGTGGAAGAAGATCCTACGGTGGATTCGACGACGACCGGAGGGGCCCGCCTTCTAGGGTTTCTGATTTCGATCAGCCGTCAAGGGCGGACGAGGTTGACAATTGGGCAATGACTAAAAAATCTCTTCCTTCTGAAGATTCGAGTAGGCAGAGCCGGTATAGCTCGCTCGGTAGTGGTGGTGCTGGGGGTGGTGGTGGTGGTATGGGCGCCCCAGCTTGGTCTAGGGCAGACGAGGTTGATAACTGGGCTGTTGGGAAGAAGCCTGCTCCTTCTAGGTCATCCACATTTGGGTCTGGTTTTCGCGATTCGGGTGCAGAGCCGGATCGCTGGGCGAGAGGCGGACGTGAGGTCGACAGAGTTGAGAGAGAGCGACCTAAATTGGTGTTGGATCCTCCGAAAGGCGAGAATGAGCCACTGCAGGTTGTGAAGACCAATAAGCCAAACCCATTCGGAGCAGCTCGACCTAGGGAGGAGATTTTGGCTGAGAAAGGGACGGATTGGAAGAAGCTGGAGTTGGAAATTGAAGCCAAGAAGACGAGCAGGCCGACTAGTGCCCACTCAAGTAGGCCTTCGAGTGCTCAGTCAAGCCGGTCTGAAGGGCCCGGGCTGCATGGGAGTGATAACGCAGTGAAGCCGCGGCCGAAAGTAAACCCCTTTGGTGATGCCAAGCCAAGGGAGGTTTTGCTGGAGGAGCGGGGTAAGGATTGGCGGAAGATTGATCTCGAGCTGGAGCATCAGGGTATTGACAGGTTGGTCTCGACTTCTTTTATGTCAATTTTGTAGGTAGTGCATTCAGCTAAGTAATGGTTTGAATATGCATGGTAATGGTGGGTTGATTGTTATGGTTTTTTGCTATTAAGAGTTGCCCAAGTGAGTTGGGTTGTTTGTAATGGTGGGTTCATTGTTATGGTTTGAATATGCATGGTAATGGCGGGTTGATTCCATGCAAAGAAGCTAGATGGGTTGGATTATGTGTATTGAGTTCATGCTTCGGTTGGAAAAGTTTGTATCGAAATAAGTAGACTAATGTATAGTTGAAACGATTAGATTATGTTTGGGTTAGTACCTCCTCTTGGGGCACATTCTTGTCCTATTGTTGTGTGTTTATGGTGCGGGGGAGAAAAAAGTTTACACAAACTGTTTTCTTCCCCTCCCCGATGAAGTACATATTCGTTGCAGACAACTATGCAATTAGAGACAATGCAGAAGACCATGTCTTTTGACTTCTTGTGTTTTTGTAATGTGGTAAGTGGGAGTTGTCTGGATGTTATGCTGATACAGCCTGGTGTCTTCTTCTTTGCTGAATGAGTCCGATCTAATCACAAGATACTAATATTTTTATAATCAAATTTGATTGCACCCACATGCCATAATTATTAGAATTTGCTTTTTAATTGGTCATGTTTATTGTTTACTGGATTACCTTTTCCATCGATAGGCCAGGGTCTGGGGCTGGGAGGCCTGGGTCTGCAGCAGGCAGGGGTGGTAGCTTTCTTGAGAGGACGCCTTCTTATTCCGATTCTAGAAGCATGGAATATGTTGATGGGCCTCCCTCGCAAGGCAAAGGAGATCCGTGGGCAAGGCCTTTTGATGACAGAAGGTCATTCCATGGTGGCAGGGAGAGAAGAGGATTTCTGGGGAACAGAGACATGGGCAGGTGAGAATGAAGTGCTTCTGCGCTTTCCTTTTTACAGTCTTAGGGAGGAAGTTAACCTGTTTACGAAAGAAACTTGATATGTTATGCTTTACGAAAGAACATTTTGGGTCGGTTAATCATGTGCAGTTGTAAAAAACCAATCAGCACATCCCTTTTAGAACAAAAGATATATAACAGTAAAAAATATTTCGCTAGAAGCTTTAAGAATTTTGGAGAAGTTGAAGGATATATTTACTCTGGGAGCTACAGATTGGTTATGAATGCCTCAAAATGCATGTGATGTTTGGTTGTTGTTTATTTGGCAGGGCAAGGTCAAGAGAAGGATGGTGAACCGCGCCGTTTCAATGGATTCGTTGAACTGCCTAGCGCTTCCAACAACCAGAACCCAATAATATTTTGCCCCACTCTTTTTGTTTTCTTCATTTTGCTCTGGGAAAAATGGAGCAAGCATTATTGATTACTGGCACTGGGAAAACACTTGCGGTGATGATGTGTTCTTACATCCCGAAACTATGTAAAATTGCAGTTTTCCGCGTTCTTTTTTGTCTGTTTTTTTTTCATGTGAAGGAGCCTGTATTGTTCTTAGGATCCAATTTTACTGAACGCTACGGGGCTCACTAGTCTATTTTTTGTGACGATCGTCAGGGTAATATACTGATAATTTGGTTCTATAGTGCATGGCCTTGTTGCTGGGTGCCATATTATGTGCAAGAAAAGTCCCGGAACTCAAATTTCTCAATTTTGTACGGAATGTAGTACATGAAGATAAGCATTGTTAATTTTGATCTATTGATCTTTTTCAATTCATTTTATTCGACGGTTGAAAGTTCAGAAATATCAAACGCTGGATAAGCCGTGGATCCAAATTCCATCTTCAGTTTCTCATTGATGTGTGTTTAAACTCGTTCTCTGTAGTTAGCTTATGGGCCACGGTTAATGCCAAGTCTTTTGGGTTGCCTATACAAGGGTGTCACCGCAGCAGTATCTAGCCTATTAAACATCACTCTATGTTTAAACTTTTTTACGTGATAGTATATTGAGAGATTGACATTTCGGAAAAGTTTTTCATTACACTATGCTTAGATGAAGAAATTTAACATTATTAAGGAACTTTAAAATGACAGGATTTATTTTCTAGAATTTGTGAATTTTCTTGTTTGGTTAACATAAAAGAACAATGAAATTGAATACATAATTTGTTATTTTTAAGCGCTGAATCATAGAAATTAAGAAATGACACTTATTTACATGAAATTTAAACTTGAAAAGTGAAGGTTCCAAATTCCAAGTTTTTTTTTCCATGCGGAAATTCTAAAATTCTATGTTTATGAATCCAAACAAAAAAATTAATGTATGTCAATTTATAAATTCTGATTTTTATTTAAATTTTAAATTTAATAAACTCGGTGAGAAGAAAGTTCTGCGGCTGTGCTGTTCTTTATAATATTCATAGAAGCAGTTGAGGTAGGCTTGAACAATTTCAAGATACCGATGTGGCGCAGTCTGAATCGTTGGATCTTTCACCAGCAATATTCCCAATTCAGATGATGAAGATGTTGATGAACTGATGATATCACTAGGCATTTGTTTTAATATTTTAATGTCTACATTTCACGTTCTGGTACCTGCTGCCCGTTGACCTAAACTTGCTAGGTCTCCTCCACCGATCCTATGGATCCCCAAATCAGTTTCTTTTCTTCAACAAATGAGCCACAAAGAGAAGCGCAATCCATGCAGAAGAACACAACCATCTAGCTAGCTTCATCGCCTATTGTTCAAGGTAAAAGTTTCACCCTCATCTTTTTCCCTTGTGTCATAATTGCTTTAGCTAAAAGTGCTTTGGGAAAAATATTTTTGGATTTCAAAAGCACCAATTATGTACGTAGAAAGCACTCAAATGATTTTTCATGATTCACTTGCATTTTTATTGAAGATTGGTCACAAAAATATTATCATCAAAACCGCTTTCAGCCATTCTAAAACTACTACCAAACGAGCCCTTTATTTTTAGTGTCAGAAGCGTTTTTAGTTGTTTGAAAACGTTTTTAACCATTTTAAAAGCAATCCCGAACAATGCCTTTAATTCCGTTAATTGATTTCAATGAGTGTGGAATGACTTAATGGATTGTGTGGTTGACATCACTATCTGTTGTTTGGTGAAAAGGGAGTGAGAGAAAGCAGTAGGAGGAGATTCATATGGACCGTGCAAGTTTTGGTAGTATCAATAGGTGGTGGAGAGGCCCTTGGGGAGTTAAGAAGAGTGTGGAGGCAGTGGCAGTAGGAGTGGTTTTAGTTGGTGCCCTTTCGGTTTTCTTAGGCCTTGCACCACAAAACACATCAAGTAATGGTTGCCAATTCCCAGCAATGTTTAACTTTGGCGATTCTAATTCCGACACGGGTGGCTTATCAGCCACATTTTTTCGACTTCCAGCCCCCTATGGCAATACATTCTTTGGTAAACCTTCAGGCAGGTTTTCAGACGGGCGTCTCATGATCGATTTTATAGGTTAGTACATCAACTGTGTTGTAATGTATCATGCATTATGTTTAAGACAATTAGAACCTGCATTTGGCAATCTTGCAGCTCAGAAGTTGGGGTTTCCATTTGTGAGTGCTTATCTGGATGCTGTTGGAACTAATTTTTATCATGGAGCAAGTTTTGCGACCGGAGGATCTACCATTCAGCCATTAGATGGCAAGATGTTTGAAGCGAGATATAGCCCCATCTCTCTTAACGTGCAGCTTGCCCAATTTGCGCAGTTGAAAGCGCGTGCGAATGAGGTTTTTGCTGAAGGTTGGGATATATTGTTGCTGAGGAAGTCTATTGTTATATAGAGTTGTGGAGAAAATTACTTGAATCATAAGCTTGATTATGTTACACTCAGTTATGGCATTGGTTTTCAGGTAAAAGCTCAAAGGTCAGGGCCAGCCTCCCTAGACCAAGCGACTTCTCCAAGGCTTTGTACACATTAGACATTGGACAAAATGATCTTCATGCTGGATTAAGATTGAAGACGCTGGACGAAGTGCTTGCATCCCTTTCCAATATCACTGCACAGTTTGCTTCGACAATAGAGGTAATAAGTTTCATAAGGAGCTATCCATTTTCATTTTGAAGTCTTATGGTCTCGGATGACTAGCGTTTTGGGCGTACCCTGTGAACTTTTTTGAGTGGAAAATTGTTAACATTGAAGACAGCTACATTTTAAACATATTTGTCACATGAAATGGCAAAACTGTGTAAAAATAGTGTCAACAGAGTGTATATGAACTCGTAAATGTTCTTAAAGAGATTAAAATCTTAAACAAAATAATGATATTGGTAGTTTTGCAGCAACTCTACCAACAAGGAGCAAGAGTTTTTTGGATTCACAACACTGGTCCCCTTGGCTGCTTGCCTGCAAGTCTTGCATATAAACTGCCAAAACCCGGCGACCTGGACCAAAACGGTTGCTTGAAACCTCACAATGAGGTGGCTCAAGAATTTAACCGGAAGCTCAAGGAAAGAGTGCTTAGCCTAAGGACCCAACTTTCTGATGCAGTTCTCACTTATGTCGATATTTACACAGCAAAATACACGCTTATCAATGAGGCAGAGAAGTACGGTAAGTTTTTTTCGCTTCATGCGTCTAGCTAGTTTTCTATGCTTCATTTCTTTCGCATGTCCAAAACCTTATTCCCTGGCGTCTGGAAATTTCAGGTTTTTCTAGTCCTCTAGTTCAATGCTGTGGAAGTTACGGCGATTACCATGTCCATTGTGGGATGAAAGCTATTGTTAATGGCACTGAAGTTGAGGCTCTCTGTAGCAATCCTTCGAAGTACATTAGCTGGGATGGGGTGCACTATTCCGATGCTGCAAATGAATGGATAGCCTACCAAATTATGGACGGCTCATTCTCCGACCCTCCAGTATCAATCACTGAAGCGTGTCACAGTCCTCCACAGTTCTGATTCAACTTCAAGCAGATAACTTGTGCTATAAGTTTGGTACAGATTTAATATTGTACTTAATCATTGAGATGAGAGTCTTCAAATTAAGGATCCAACTTTGTTTTGTTCTTGAATAACAATAAGACAACCGATGTGGACACCAAACAAATGAAATCCAATTATGTTTGTGATGATATCACAACATCATATATACTAAAACTCAGTTTCTGAACATTGTTCATTAACAGTGATTTGACGAATTTGCCCCTCGGTTTCTTCTTGATCTCCCGTTGTGCTGCCTCTTTTACACAGTGAAATGACCACTTTGTCCTGGCTGGCCACGCGTTCTTCATCAATGGCCTTTCCTGTTGGATTTCTCTGCTGTTTCATTCTCTGCCTTCCATTTCCTGCAATCGTTTTATTTTTCTCAGCTCCACGTCTACACGTGTTGGTCATCGTGGAAAGAAAAGTGGTGGAAAGCCGACGAAAGCAGTGGAAAAACCCATTTGCTTTTCCATTCGCTAATCTCAGAAAGGGCATCCCCTCCCATCGCCGTTCTCGAGTTCTTTCGATGAAGTTTTCTCTCTCTTTCTTGCTAAAAACGACAGAACCAGTCAAAATTGTGTTTGGAAATGGCCCGTGCGCTGTTCCTTGTTATCTTGTGGACCAATCTTTCCTCTTCATCCGTTGGACAACGTCTCCTTCGTTTCACCTCTCTCTTAGAAACACAGTGGAGATCCTTTTAGTCTTCATCAATGTCAAGGATCTCTGGAGAAAAAAAGTTGATTTTTTTTTTTTTTGGTTTTTTTTAATTATCAGGATATCCTGAAGGCCTTTCTTTCATGTTCTTCTTTTCTAGGTGTTTTTCTTTGTTGCTTCCCCTTGTTATTTCCCATCATCCTGCCTCGCTCCTTATTTTTTTTCAACTGCTCCGTACGTCTACAAACGTTTGAAAAGTGTAAAATGTGGTTTAATGGAGAGGTTCTAGACTTGAAAGAAAATAGTGGAAAAAACAGACATTTGCTAAACTTAAGCAACGTCATCTTTTATCTCAGAACGGGCATTCAGAAAGGGCATACCCTCCCATTTTTTCGTTTCGAAAATTTTCGATGAATTTGTTTTCTCTTTTTGATCTTTACAAATAACATGTAGGTCAGTTTGTTCGATCTTTTTCGTTTGGGTTGGATGGCTGAATTATTGGCAGACTGTTCCTTTGGGTTGTCTTCTTTCATTCCCGACTAAGTCATTTTCGTTTTCTCTCTTACAGCAAAGGTGTCCCTGGGAAACAGATTCAGATGTTTCTATCTCAAAGATTTGTCTTGGAGAAAAAAAAAATTTAGTCAAAACCTCAGACTTTGGTTTGGTGGTTTTTAATTATTGTGCAGGTAAAGGAGAACCTCTAAGAAAAATAAGTTCACTGAAGACTTGACAAGCGGTAGAAAATTGGTTTTTTTGAAAAAAATTTTAAACTTCCTTTTTTCGAATTAAAAAAATAAATAAAGTAGGCAATTTATCCATTTTAGTTACACGACTTTGGTCCTTTAATTCCAGATATGCACCTATTTTGAATTATCTTTTCTCATTTAATAATCTTGCATGTCAAAGTTTGGGATCTTTTTATCCATTTTTTACTGTTTGCTTTGTTTTTCCAACATTCTCCAAGGGAGTTCCGAAGTTCTTCGATTCTTTGGATATGGGAAAATTTTATCAGCCATTTGTGAAAACTCTTGCAGAGTAAATTGAAATTTAATTCCAGGTTCTGTATTGCTCTATAATTGAAGTCTTCTACCTAAAATGCTGATTACACAGCACACCACAACAACACAGGACTACTGCAGCTTGTACCAATTTAATCCCAAGTTTTGATTATTATTTTACTAAATTTGCTATCTTTTATATAATCATACCATCCGTGTTGATATGAACAGTCCATGTTTATTGTGTTGAAAGATGCGGAAAAAAAAGAAAATTTGGTCGTGAGAAGTTGCGTTTGGTTTAATCGTTTGGGGAATGTGGAGTGTTATTCAAATTGAAATTTAATGGAATGCCATGATTGAAATTTTATAGTATGAATGAATTTAGCCAATCTGAAATACCAACATTACAGCTGATGAACTCACTCCTACATAATTCTGCATATACTCATCTTTTATTTCGTTGGGTTTTATTTTTATTTCATTTTTTTTTGTTCCAAAGAACTTGAATTTATCTTAATCGCTCTATCACTTTTTTGGAACTGTGGTTGGTTTTAGATTTAACAATCTTTTGGAATATAGAGAGATCATAATTTTTTTTGTGCTATTCTTGAAACAGGCCGGCTGCTCATTAAGCTCAAAGAAGTGAGAAGATTTGTTACGTAGGACTATGCCAACTATGAAGCTCTTAGAAAAAGGTGCGGAAATTGGCCTGTTTTGATGAGGTATACTTTTCTAATAGTATGCTCCTTAGTATTCCACTTTAATTATGTCTAGGAACTAATGTTGTTATTACTACTCATTTTTACAGAAAAAAGGTTTTGTTCTTCATTCTTGCTATTCATCTAGGGTTGTGCAACTTCATTATAGGGGATCCCTTCGTATAGGTTTCTTGCTAAGACCCGTACGAAGTGCAAATGTATGTGGAAATTTATAACTCTACATAACAGTCCAGCGCAGTTAGCCTGCTAGTATTTCTATTTCATTTTGAAACCTGCCTGGAGTTCAAATCTATGAGGGCTATTCTCTCTATTTCATGAAGTACGAGGTTCTTATGGACCGTGCGAGGTTTTTTACCATCGTCAATGGTGGGAGAATGGGCTGTAGAAGAGTGCGGAAGCAGTGGCTTGGTTCTTTCGACTTACTTAGGCCTTGGACCACAGAAGAAATTGAGTAGTGGTTGTCAATTCCCGGCGATGTATAACTTTGGGGATTCAAATTCGGACACAGGTAGTTTCTCAGCTACATTTTATCAGCTCCCTTCTCCCTACGGCTACACGTACTTTGGTAACCTTCAGGCAGGTTCTCAGACGGGCGCAACATTATTGATTTTATAGGTTAGTGCATCAAACTGTTGTCCTTGCTTTTCCTTCAAATTTAAGACAACTTATGAACTTTTTATGGAACAATCTTGCAGCTCAAAGGTTGGATTTTCCATTTTTAAGTGCTTATCTGGATTCTGTTGGAGCAAAGAATTTCGCAATTGGAGCATCTACAATTCAGCCATTAGATGCCAGGATATTTGAAGAGAGATATAGCTCCATCTCTTTTAACGTACAACTTTCACAATTTGCACAGCTCAAAGCACGCCAGCAAATAGCTTCCCTCGAGGTACGGAAATTCACAATTTTTTACTGAGACGTTTAATTTGATCTAGTAATTCTTTGTGCAGGGGTTTCACTGAACGATGGATTAGTTTTCAGATAAAAGGTTCCATGTCAAGGCCGGCCTCCCAAGCCCAGAGGACTTCTCCAAGGTCTTGTATACTTTAGACATCAGACAAAACGGTCTTAATGCCGGATTAAACTGGAAACCGGCAGACCAAGTGCTGGCATCCGTCTCCACCATAGCAGCGCAGTTAGCTCTTTGCACGGTGATTCATAAGGAACTATTTTCATAAATTTACTTAATCAACATAAATCACTATTGTATGGCGTAACTTTAATAACACGAAGTCAGAAACAATATCTCTAGATTATATTCCAACCCAGGCGTCACATGAAATGCCTAAAATCCCGATGGCTCTATAAACAGATTGCAGATTGTTTTGTATGTGCAGCAACTCTACCAACAAGGGGCAAGAGTTTTTTGGATTCACAAATCACAACACAGGTCCGCTCGGGTGCTTGCCTTCAACTCTTGCGTATAAGCTGCCAGAATCCGGCGACCTGGATCAAAACGGTTGCTTGAAGCCTTTGCATGAGATGCGGTTTAAGAATTTAACATGCGGCTCAAGGAAGAGAGTGCTTGAACTAAGAGCCCAACCTTCAGAAGCAGTTCTTACTTGAGTCAATATCTATGCAGAAAAATCCTGACTAATTATATCGATAGGAAAACCTTACATCCACTGACCAAGTTCTACACCGTGGGGTACATAAGAAGTGTAAATCGATTCTTTCTAATGAACACATCCGATCACAACTTCCACTTCATGCCTTTAGCTAGTGTTTCACTACTCCATTTCCTTGGCCTAACCAAAACCCTAAACTCTTTTTCTCTGTTGGGTGGAATTTGCAGGTTTTACGAGTCCTTAACTCAATGTTGTGGAAGCTACGGTGATTTCCCCGTCCATTGTGGGGTGAAAGCTATTGTTAATGGCACTGCAGCTGGAGCACCTTGTAGCAATCCTTCTCAGTACATTAGCTGGGATGGAGGGCACTATTCTGATGCTGCAAACCAGTGGATAGCCAACGGAATTATGGACCGCGCATTCTCTGATCATCCGGTTTCAATCGCTTAAGCATGTCACAATACTCCACACTAAATCAACTTTCAAGTATCCCAGTTGAGGTTGTATCGCACACCAACAGAAAAAGAAAAAACAAAATGAATCTGTTCTTGATTGAAAGTTAGTTATTCAAATTTGACGACTCCTTTTTTTTTTTATTTACTGCTTATATCGAACTTTAAATGTAGCTATCCATTTCTTTCTGTTCGATGATAGTCTATTTTCTAGGCCACCTTTAAAGATCAACTCTTTTAAAATCAACCCAAAATATCGTTGTATGAACGTGATTATAATTTTTGTATTTAACTGAACATATCTGGCTACCTGAAAGAGGGAAGAGAAAAAAAATTAAACTTTGACAAAAAAATAAAAAGGGTTCATCTACAATTTGAAACAAAGGACGACTTCACTGGGGATCGAACCCAGAATCTCTGGTTTCGTAGACCAGCGCCTTATCCATTGGGCCATGAAGTCCGAATGCTTGTTTTGCTAGGTTTTTATTAATTTATACGCAGTAAAAAGAAACCGATCGCTCGTGGAAAAAGCCAGAGCGCTTCCTGTCAAAACTGACAAAGTGAGCCTAAAGAGTTGAAGGGAAACTCAACGGATACAAATTCTGTTCCAAAAGCTATAAGCCTATTTCTGAAACAAAGTGCTTACCTTTTCTTTTTCTTTTTTTTCAACTTTTTTGTCTCTGAAAGTGGAATCACATTTCTCAAAACTACTACTTGTGAGTTGTGACTGCTATCTTGGTGTCACTCTCAGTGAGCTTGGCAGCCTCGTCATCTCCTTGCAAATATCCGGCCATATTCAACTTCGGCGACTCAAACTCTGACACCGGCGGCTTGTCTGCAGTTTTCGGTCAGGTGCGTTTGCCCCCCGGAGAGTCCTACTTCCACCGCCCTGCCGCCTGCCGGCTGTTACTGCAAATGACAGGCTCGCTTTACTGTATCTTAGCGCATATCTTGATTATGTGGGAAGCAACTTCACACACGGAGCCAACTTTGCCACGGCGGGCTCAACCATCCAGAGCGGGTATAGTCCCGTCACCTTGGACGTTCAGTACAATGAGTTCTACGATTTTCAACCAAGATCCCAAACCGCTCGTAGTCGAGGTTGGAATTTGACATGTGTACATATACGTTTTCTTTTTGTATTAAAATGAGTTATGTTTGCATTTGGCATGTGTGGCAAACTATAATTTACACGTAAGGAACCAAGAATAAGTGTTTCTACGTACATCTACATGTTTTATTAGTTGAAGAAACTTGCATTAATGCAATGCAGGTGGAATTTTAAGCAGCTAATGCCAAAAGCAGACGATTTCTCTCGTGCTTTATACACATTTGATATTGGCAGAATGATTTAACAGCCGGTTTATTCTTGAACATGTCCACTACCCAAGGCAAGGCATATGTTCCTGATGTGCTAAATCAGTTTAACAGTATTGTTAAGGTAATTAGCAATACAAACTCTGACTAATAACAACATTTAATTTGGTTGTGATGTGTGTTTTAATTCTACACGTAGTATATATATGATCAAGGAGGTAGATACTTTTGGATACACAATACAGGTTCCATTGGTTGTCTTCCATATGTATTGGACCACGTACCAATCGCAGACGCGTAGCTGGACAAGCCTGGTTGTGACATGCCTTACCAATTTTACAACCGCAGATTGAAGCAAGTTGTGGTTCAGTTAAGAAGATAACTACCATTAGCTGCAATCACATATGTTGATGTTTACCCGGCTAAGTACTCCCTCATTAGCCAACCAAAAAAGCATGGTAAGCCCTTACTAGATTGAAATCACTTCCTCTATGGGGTGAATATTAATGTCACTAAGTTTGTGTCAAGATTTCAAAGAAACAGTCCAACAGCCTCACTAGGATGTGATGTTTTATATTCTTCAACAGTTTGCTGACTGTGATACAAAATGTCGCAGGATTCAAGCAGCCGGTGGGAAGTACAATTTCAACAAGCACATTGGATGTGCAGGGAAGATTAGGGTTCATGGAAAAGATGCTTTAGTGGGAAGGGGATGCCAAGACCCATCACTTTGGGTGAATTGGGTTGGTGTGCATTTCACTCAAGCAGCTAACAAAAGAGTCTTTGATCAGATGGTAGTGTTAGACGCACAGTTAGAACTTGAATGTGGGAACCAAGAAGTATGGGCTGTCAGTTTATATATCAGTTTTCTATCTCCACATGTGGTCTTCGACAAGTCAGGCACGGGCAGCATGGAGATGATCATGGACTTGTTAATTTTATATTTGTCCTCAGCATGTGCAGCATGGACTGCTTGTTAGTTTATAGGTCCTCAAACACATGCACCACGTGCAGCATATTCCTGATGTATTTATATTTACGTACTTAATACATCAGGAATATGCTGCACGTGGTGCATGTGTTTGAGGACCTATAAACTAACAAGCAGTCCATGCTGCACATGCTGAGGACAAATATAAAATTAACAAGTCCATGATCATCTCCATGCTGCCCGTGCCTGACTTGTCGAAGACCACATGTGGAGATAGAAAACTGATATATAAAACTGACAGCCCATACTTCTTGGTTCCCATTCTCACACCTCCCTTGGAAAATCGTCCTCTTGGTCTTGAGGTCCTTAACAACAAAATAATATGGAAAAATTAGAATGTAGCATTTGTTATTTAGGGTAAATCTATGGGCAGAGATAATATTGGTAGAGGCTGACGGACAATGTAAAACATTCTTAAGGTTAAATGAGCAAGAATTAGCATTAATTTGATTTGAACCAGAGTGAGCAATAGCGAGTCCAGTATCATTACCTACACCACCAATGTTTTCATTACCGTTGTACTCTTTAGGATTAACCAAATTCTGGAGATCAGGTGTGATATGTGCATTAGCGCCTGTATCAATTAACCACGAACCATTTTTCTGACGGTTCAAGGGGATGGATGAGGAGGCCATTGCACTGAGACGCTGGGCTGGAATGCGTCCTTCGTATGCAGCATTCATGCGCTGGTAACAGTCAAGGGCAGGATGCCCTTCTTTTCCACAAATCTGGCAGGTTATTCGTCCTCCTCCACAACGTTCCCCATTACTGGCAGGAACACGTTGGTAATTATTGTTGTTGTTGCGAGGACCAAAGCCTCGTTGGTTGACACCACCACGGTTAGACGGAAAGCCAGCTCGTCCACCACCACGAGAACGTCCACCACGTCCTCTTGCAGCTACAAAGGCATTCACAGGGGCTGATTCAACTAGTGAAACAATTTGTTCAGCCATTCTCCTCTCTGTAGTCAGGAGAAGAGATTCAAGAGTAGGGTACGTGATCGGAGTATCACGTGCCTGTGCTGCATTAACCGTCATTTCGAACGCGGAACCTAGATTATTCAAAATGATTTGGACGAGTTCATCATCGTCCACATGCTTACCAACTAGAGCCAAATTGTCAGCAATGGCATTCATCTTATCAAGAAAGTCAGCAATAGATAAATCACCCTTCTTACATTGGAGTAGTTCATTTCGCAGGAAAAGAATTCGATTCTGCGAAGAAGAAGCATACCTTTGCTCCAGTGCTTCCCATGTTGCACGAGCTGATCGTTTGCTTGCCACAGTAGCAAGGACAGAGGCTGTAAGGGAGCCATTGATCCAACTCAGGATCATTTGGTCTTGCTGCATCCAAGTGTTGTAGGCGGGATTGACAGTGGTGCTTCCAGCGAGATACTTGGATGGACAGACAACGGAACCATCCACATACCCCATAAGATCACGGCTCTTAAGGATTGGAAGAATCTGGGCTAACCATAACAGATAGTTAGTCCTATCGAGCTTGATGTTGACAATGGTAGTCATGGACGAAGACATGTTGATTAGAGCAGTTGCAGGTGGTGGGGTTTGCTGGGAATCAAGGAAGGTGTTGTTGTTGTTGGAAGACATGCTGGAAAAAAAAAAATTATGGATCGTTTGTCGTTGGACTTAAGAGGCTCTGTATACCATAAAAGTTCTAGGATTGTAGATTGTAGGGAAAACAAAACACTCAGGAAAGATATAACTCTACACAAGGTTTTCACTGTGATTCACACTCTACAAAGAGAGGCTGCATGTATTTATATTTACGTACTTAATACATCAGGAATATGCTGCACGTGGTGCATGTGTTTGAGGACCTATAAACTAACAAGCAGTCCATGCTGCACATGCTGAGGACAAATATAAAATTAACAAGTCCATGATCATCTCCATGCTGCCCGTGCCTGACTTGTCGAAGACCACATGTGGAGATAGAAAATTGATATATAAAACTGACAGCCCATACTTCTTGGTTCCCACATTCAAGTTCTAACTGTGCGTCTAACAGGTAGACGGTTCACTTTCAGATCCACCACTTCCATAGCTCATTAAAATACTTAATGTCAGCAGAATCTTTTGTTTTTAATCTTTCTTTTTGCTTGAATTCAGGATCATCAATAGTGGACGACTTGTGTTAGTCTTTTACAAACACAAGTGGTGACCCTCCAAAGTCTTTACATTCAATATTTCATCTTCTATATTAAGACTAAAAATTGCATGCTCCCTCCCTTGATCTTTTTGTGCAACATATGATTCTCTATGGAACCACATTCCTCAAGAATAATAGTTGTGACTGTTTTGGTGTCGCTCTCGTTGAGCTTGGCACTGATATCCTTGGTTTTGGCCTCGACTTCATGCAAGTTCCCGGCTGTTTTCAACTTCGGTGACTCAAACTCCGACACCGGTGGCTTCTCTGCAGTTTTTTAGTCAGGCGGGTCCGCCTCATGGCCAGTCTTATTTCCACCGCCCGGCCGGTAGTTATTGCGATGGCCGCCTGGTCATTGATTTCATAGGTAACACTCCATCCATCTGCCATCTTCCCATCCGTACAGTTTGTGAAATATGGTAGACTGGTAGTTGAAGAAGCTAGGACAGAAGGGTAGAGTTCAAGAGAGCAAAATGCGTTTAGGAAAGTGGAATATAGGAACCTTAACGGGAAAATCTATGGAAGTAGTGGAAGTTATGGTGAGGAGAAGGATAAATATTATGTGCCTACAAGAAACTAAGTGGGTTGGTAGTAAGGCAAAGGATCTAGAAAACTCAGGGTTTAAACTTTGGTATTCGGGCACAAATAGAACGAGAAACGGTGTTGGCATCATCGTGGACAAGACCTTGGTACAAGATGTTGTAGATGTCAAGAGGGTAGGAGATAGAATCATGGCAATCAAGATTGTAATAGGACAAGAACTTATCAATGTGATTAGTGCGTACGCACCTCAAGTAGGGTTGGATACGAGTTCGAAGGAGAAATTTTGGGAAGATCTTGGAGACTTGGTGCAAGGAATTGCTCAGACGGAGAAGTTATTTATAGGAGGAGATTTAAATGGACACGTGGGCAGGGAGACAGGCAACTATGGAGGTTTTCATGGTGGCCATGGTTTTGGGGAGAGAAACGAGGATGGGGAAGCTATCTTGGATTTTGCAATGACATATGATCTCTTCTTAGCCAACACCTTCTTTAAGAAGAGAGAAGAACATGTGATCACCTACAAGAGTGGGTCGTCAAAAACACAAATAGATTTTCTTCTAATGAGGAAAGGGGATCGTATAACTTGTAAGGATTGCAAAGTTATACCAGGAGAGAGCGTGGCTAATCAACATCGCTTGTTGGTGATGGATGTACATATCAAAAGAGTAAGACAAAAGAACAAGACTTGGAAGTGCCCAAGGACTAGATGGTGGAATCTAAAAGAAGAAAAACAAGCCATTTTCAAAGAGAAGGTAATCACCCAATGTGTGTGGGATAGAGAGGGGGAAGCTAGCCAAATGTGGGATTCCATGGCTAGTTGTATCCGAAAAGTAGCAAAAGAGGTATTAGGAGAGTCCAAGGGCTTTGCCCCACACCAAAAGGAATCTTGGTGGTGGAATGAGGAGGTACAAACGAAGGTGAAGGCTAAGAAGGAATGTTGTAAAGCCTTATACAAGGAGAGGACCGATGAAAATGGTGAAAGGTATAGAAAAGCGAAGCAAGAGGCGAAGAAAGCTGTCAGAGAAGCTAAGTTAGCGGCTTACGACGATATGTATAAACGACTAGATACCAAAGAAGGAGAGTTGGATATCTATAAACTATCTAGAGCAAGGGAAAAGAAGACAAGGGACCTAAACCAAGTGAGGTGCATCAAGGATGAGGATGGAAAGGTTCTTGCTACAGAGAACGCGGTTAAAGACAGATGGAGAGGTTATTTTCATAATCTTTTCAATAAAGGACATGAAATGAGTGCTTCTTTAGGGGAGTTGAGTAACTCAGAAGAGTGTAGAAACTACTCTTTTTATCGTCGAATCCGGAAGGAAGAAGTGGTTGTAGCTTTGAAGAAGATGAAGCATATAAAAAAGCAATAGGCCCAGACGATATACCAATCGAAGTGTGGAAACTTTTGGGAGAGACAGGTATAACATGGCTCACTGACCTTTTCAATAGGATTTTGAAAACGAAGAAGATGCCAAATGAGTGGCGAACGAGCACTTTGGTGCCTATCTACAAGAATAAGGGCGACGTACAAAATTGCATGAACTATAGGGGTATTAAGCTAATGAGTCATACAATGAAGCTCTGGGAGAGAGTCATTGAGCATAGATTGAGGCAAGAGACACGGGTTTCGGACAACCAATTCGGGTTCATGCCAGGGCGCTCAACCATGGAGGCAATCTATCTCTTACGAAGATTGATGGAAAGATATAGAGATGGGAAAAAGGATTTACACATGGTCTTTATAGATTTGGAAAAAGCGTATGATAGGGTCCCAAGAGACATTCTTTGGAGGATTTTAGAGAAGAAAGGAGTACGAGTAGCATATATCCAAGCTATAAAGGATATGTATGAAGGAGCAAAGACTGCCGTAAGAACTCATGAAGGACAAACCGAAAGCTTTCCCATAACTGTAGGATTACATCAAGGCTCATCCTTAAGTCCTTACCTTTTTGCGTTGGTAATGGATGAGTTAACAGGACATATTCAAGATGATATTCCTTGGTGTATGCTTTTCGCAGACGATATAGTGTTGATAGATGAAACTCAGGAAGGGGTAAATGCAAAGCTTAACCTTTGGAGAGAAGTGTTGGAATCTAAAGGTCTTCGCCTAAGCCGATCAAAGACAGAATATATGGAGTGCAAGTTCAGTGCAAATGGAGGCCAAAACGAGTTAGGGGTGAGGATCGGAGATCAAGAAATACCAAAGAGCGACCGTTTTCGTTACCTAGGATCTATCTTGCAAAAGAACGGAGAATTAGATGGAGATCTCAACCATAGAATACAAGCTGGATGGATGAAGTGGAAGAGTGCATCCGGCGTGTTGTGTGACCGCCGTATGCCACTGAAGCTCAAGGGAAAATTTTATAGGACGGCAATAAGGCCGGCGATGCTGTATGGCACAGAATGTTGGGCGGTGAAACATCAACACGTACACAAAATGGGTGTAGCGGAGATGAGGATGCTTCGTTGGATGTGTGTGGGCACACGAGAAAGGATAAGATTAGGAATGAGGATATCCGGGGGTAAAGTAGGAGTAGCCGAAATTGAAGGAAAGATGAGAGAAAATCGGTTACGGTGGTTTGGACATGTGCAAAGAAGGCCTACTGACGCTCCGATTAGAAGATGCGACTATGGGACAGAGGTTCAGGGCCGAAGGGGTAGAGGAAGACCTAGGAAAACTTTGGAAGAGACTCTAAGAAAAAGACTTAGAGTACTTGGATCTAACGAAGGACATGACACAGGATCGAGCACAATGGCGTTCTAAGATTCATATAGCCGATCCCACTCAGTGACTTGGATTTTCCAAGTCTCCAACTGAGAAGTTTTCCTCACTCGGGAAATTAAGGGAACACTACCCCAACCTACATGCTCCACTCAGAAAGCTTCAACATACAAGCTTCAACAAAAGAAAAATTCAAAGAACTTAGCGAAGAAGGCTTTTTGGTGTATTTAACACAATACGTTGAAATGAAGGAAAGCTTATTTATTGATATCCCCGATAAGCTACAAATATGTACATATACATGAGTCAAAATAAACACACAAGAGGGAGCCTTCACAAAGGTTGCTTAGGAGAAGTCTCAGCAGTCGGTAGAGCCCCAGAAAGAGAAGGCACCGGAGGGGGATCATTTGGAGCCTCAGTACTGGACAGAACCCTAGAAGGAGGAGGCATCAGAGGTTGATCATTTGGAGCTTCATTACGCGGTACAGCCCCAGAAGACGAAGGCAATAAATGCCTTTGGAACAAACCCACAAATCTCTGATGATCAAGTAAAACCTGACCATCAGTTTCCTTCATCTGGTCAAGCTTCCTCTTCATGTTTGGTAGCATAGTCATGTGCGAGCCGGTGCAACTGTTTATTCTCATGCTTGAGCCCTCTAATCTCCTGTTTGAGACTCATCACTTCAGCCGCCAATGATTCAACTTGGCGGGTTCGAGCAAATAGGCGTTGGGCCATATTAGACACAGAACCTGCACACTGAACACTGAGAGCCAGCGAATCCTTAACAGCTAACTCATCTGACCGTTTGGAAAGTAGTCTGTTATCTTTGGGAGTGAGAAGGTTCCTGGCCACCACCGCAGCGGTCATATCATTCTTCATCACGGAATCCCCAACGGTAAGAGGACCAGTAGGGGAGACGAAGGATGGGCGCCATATGTTGTCTGGAGAAGGCGGGGCTGCCTCTTCAACAAGGTTCAAGTCAAAACGACGGTCGGAGGGGCCAGACATTTTCAAAGGTGTTGAAGAGAGAAGAGGTCAGACAAATCAAGATCTTAGAAGTGCAAGAATGAAGCTTCTACTGGTGGAGATTCAAGTGTGCTTTGGAACTTAATGCCAGCCCCTATAAAAATCTGCACTCGACGGAGCTTCAGAAATCGAAGAGACGCCTGCTCAGAAATCGAAGAGGCGTTTGCTTTCTCAAAAGCTGAGCTGCTTAGAGATCACGAGGGTTGATCTCAGAAATCGAAGAGGCGTTTGCTTTCTCAAAAGTTGGGCTGCTCAAAGACCACGAAGGCCGATCTCAGAAATCGAAGAGGCGCTCGCTTTCTCAAAAGCTGGGCTCCCCAGAGATCACGAGGGCCGATCTCAAAAATCGAAGAGGCACCTACTTTTCCAGCCTTGTCAGCACCTGTCACACGCACACTCAGCTTTGCGGAAATTATGGGCATTCTGTCGAAAGACTTCTGGGGAAGTAGAAAACACATGAATCTTACTGTTCAATCACCCACTTCCCACACGCAACAATAGCTCATGGGTACCACAGATAACTTTGCCAAAGTTCTCTGCCAAAGGTTGAGCACGTGAAGCTTGCAGCTCCCACTACATCGCTCTGACCAAGAAGGGTAAAAGAAT